ACCCCTTTGGCTATAACCCCTAATATGGGAAAGCGGGAAATTAAGAGAAAAATCAACATATTTATAAAAAATACCTACTTCCCCAAACTAAAATGAAAATTAAGAACCAGAACAAAAAACCCAAAACCAAACAAACAAATAATGGACCCCAGGGTTTCTTCTTTCCAAAAAAAGAAAAAAAAATTCAACCCTAAAACCCAGTTAATTCCCTAAAGTAGCAGAAACTCCCTCCGAGGTAGATATCTGAGTCAGACACTCTTGTCCACCGAGCTATTCTATTGGTTTAAGATGAGCTGCTTATGAGGTAATAAAGCTGTCTGGAGGGGCAGGGGGTAGGAGGCAAGGGGGCATGGCCCAGGTCCTCTGTCCAGAAGTTGTGTCCCCATTTTTGGCACCTCTGGTAGGTAGGGCAAGGCTGGCGTTCTCCATAGATCCCACAGCAGATAAGCGGTGGGGGAGGGAAAGTGGGTGAAACCAGAGAGCGAGAATAGTTGTACATGTGTGAGAGAAAGGGATCTGAAAAATAGGATTCTGGGTGTGTGTGTGTGTGTGTGTGTGTATAAGAAATGGGGAGATTAAAGATTGAAAAAAAGGAAAAAGGGGGAGACAGACCCCACTTTCCTCTTAGGGGATCCCATCTCCTTGCCAGGTAAGCAACACCCCCAGCACTGAGTCTGGTGAGGGAGGGGATGACCCCATTTGCCCTTCTCTGCCTTGTGCTTCTCCTGTGTTGGGGGTCTCCGGATGCTTTCGTCCTCTTCAAGAGTCACCTCGTGAGCCCCCACCCCTGTGGCCCTGAGGGGTGAGATCAGTTGGAAGTGTCAGAATGAACGCTTCCTGGTTCCTCTGTTGGGGATGTCACTGAGGACGGGGTCACAGCCTCCTGCCAGCCGCCATTTGCCTGGAAAAAGACAGACAGCTGGGGTAGGACTCTGAAACCCAGAGTGGGGGACAACATTTCCAGGGAGAGGGTCTTCCTGTCCAGGTGAGAGGTGGAGAGAGGGGGCTTCAGGGATCCACTCACCCTCATTTCCCGAGGGCTGTACATCTGGCCTCCCCCGAGGTTATCCCCATAGCCCCCTGGCCCCATCGAGTGTCGGAGTGATTCCACCTGTGGGCAGCGAAAGAGAGTATGGTGCGGTGAGAGGCCTCAAAAAGTCTTGTATCCTGAAGGGAGGGAAAACCAAGCCTGGGAAAACCGAACTTAAGGGGAAATGGGCCATCTGACCTGAGAAGCAGAGTACGAATCTCCGTTGAGCCCGGGCACCCCCAGAAACATGTCTCCGGATCCCGAGAGACTGAAAGAGCCTCCAGAGCCTTGGGAGAGCAGAGAGGGAAATGTGTAACAGCCTGTGATGGCAGACAGGAGACATACCATAACTCTGTTTCCAAAAAGCCCTCTGAACTAGCTCTGTGGGAGTGTGCCACAGTGCACAAATTATCCACAAGACAACACTGCAACACTCAGAAGGATCAGGCTGCTTCCACACCTCCCCTGGCCACTTGCTAGAAGAAAGGCAAAGATGTGACTTGGCTGCAGTGGCCTCCTCACCCTGACATCTTCACCCCATCTCAGCTTGGTCTCTCTCACCCCCAGAGGTCCCCACTCTATGATCCTGCCTAGATAGGAAGTCGGAACAAAAACAGGAAGTGTGCAAAACGACCAGCCAGGGTGGCAGCAGGGTGTACCTGCAGAAGAAGGGGGTGTTGGGGAGCTGGTGCGGCTGTGGCCTCCCTGGGTGACTGACACGGCAGTCTTGACGGCATAGATATTTGCCTCCTCTTGGAACTTTCCAATATTTTTCTTATAGCGAATCCGCTTGTTGCCAAACCAGTTGGAGACCTATGGGGCATTGGGCAGAAAAGAGGGTCAGTTGGAAACCTTTCCCTCTGTATGGCTCTCAGTCAATAGGATTGGAGAGGTTTTTGCCAGAAAACTCCTCCCCAATACCTGAGAGACAGTGATTCCACACTTCTTGGCGAGCTCCTCCTTAGCTTCCTCACTAGGATACGGGTTACTCAGGTGGGAGTAGAAATATTCATTTAGGACCTCAGTGGCCTGTTTGCTGAAGTTACGGCGTTTGCGTCTAGAGAGGAGGGAGCAGGATGGTGGTGAGGGGGACGCTGCTGTCCCAGCACGGCCTCCATGTTGCTTAACTCCAGAGGGCGCCACTGTCGTGGAGTTTGGTGTTGTGCAACTTGGTGGCCAGGGGCTTGGGGTGAAGAAAGGGAAGGAGCCTAGTGCTGGGGGCAGGCCCAGGCCCCTGGGCCCCACCTGGCATCCAGGAATCGGGAACGCAGGATCATGACAGCCTCGCAGGTGCTCTGCTTGAGCTGCATCTGGATGGCACTGAACTTTCGATGGATGATGCTCACCATACGCTCCATCTCCTTGGGTGCCACCGGCCGTGTGCGGCTCTGCTCCCTCAGTAGGTTCATGACATGGGTTGTGAACTCATTACATGCCTGCATTGGGAACCGGAGGGCTGTGAGGAGTTTGGTCTTGGGATTTCCCCCAAGGAATCTCCCTCCACCCACTCCAGCCTCCTCTCCTCACCTGCTCATACTTCTCTAGCTCCGAGTGGTAGATATGGCGAATCTGAGCAAGTTTGCTGCGATAGTCCGAGTGTTCGATGGAGTTGTCAGGGGACATGCCGCCCCCGGAAGCTGCAGCGGCTGCAGCTGCTGCCGCTGAGCCCCCCCCTTTCTCAGGCCCAGCCACACCCTCTGCCAGAAGCATATTGTCCAGGCGCATCAGCTGGGGGTCCACTGGCTCCTCCTCCTGGGAGCTTCGAATGCTGAGGCCTAGTACGTAGGTGAGTGGACTTAGGGACCCCCACACCCAGTTCTTAACCCTCCAGGTGCTACCTGGAGACCCACATTTCTTTGGTTCCCTCCCAGTCCCCCTGGCAACCTCCCTGACCCCACTTTCCTCAAGGCCCAAGTTGTCAAACTCTTGGCCTGTGTCTGTAGTGAACAGGGCTCCATCCCAGGAGGTAAGGAATCAGAGAAGTACCCACATACCAGTTTTCTCCTTGATTTCACACAGGACGCTAAAGAGAGCGGGCTTCATTCGGTGGCAGTTTAGGGCATGTTTCCTTGGGAGGGATGGGAGAGAAAAGAGTTGTGCTATAGAAACAGGCAGGTGTGAACCATGAGGGTGGGGAGCCTGGGAACAAGGAAGGTAAAAAAGGGGCTGGGGCAGAATGTAGTTGGGGTTCTTGGGAAGAGGTAAGCTCTGGGAGTGTGGAGATGTGGGAAGCTGCTTGGCTTCAGGCCACAGAGGGAAGGTGGAGGCAGCAGGCTAAAGGCCCCTGTGGGCAGGCTGGGGGCTGTAGGATATGGTCTAGAAGGATGCAGGGGGTACTTTGGGGGTGACTGCATACATGAGGGTGACTAGGTAGATTTCAGGAGAGATGGAGACTGGGGAGAAGAGTCAGAGTTTGAGGTGCCAGATAGGGGTTAGGGGTGACAAGCTAAAGTAGGGTGATCAGTAGAGATGTGTGTGGAGGATCCTGGGACTGAGCAGGGTGAAGCTCGGGTGAGGACCCTTGGAGACTGGGCCATGGAGTGGTAGGAACCCTGGGGAGGGGTGTGGAGGTCCCCAGGTCTGCAGAGGAGGGGGGTGAGCTGGGTGAGGAGTTAGGGAAGATGACAGCATAGCCATTTCTTAGTCCAGGAGTCAGAAGGGGGCTCTGGAGATGGAATATGTTCCAGGGGACTGTGGGGGGCTCAGTCAGGGGTTAGGAGGGGGATGAGACCACCTGGGTCCCCATCTTTAAGGTTTCAGGGCCTGGGAGCAGGAAGGTTATCTCGGGGCTTCCGGGAGTAAGGAGAGAAGAGAGCTGTAGGATCCTGGAGTTGGGGGCGGGGGGACTCCCAGAAGACTCAGAGCTTGTGAATGGGGCTTCTGCTGGGTCTGTGTGGGGTCCCGGGGTGGGGGCACTCACTTGGCCTGGGCCTCGTCCAGGCTCTGGTCGGTGATGGTCATTATCTGCTGCAGAATGTCCCCGATGTCTTGCTTCCCTCGGCCTCCCGGGACCCCCCCGCTACCCCCACTGGGGTCTCCGCCACCGGGAGGCTCGCCAGGGCCCCCGGGCTCCCCACCCACCAATCCCAGGCCCCCCCGGCCCCCGCCTGGAGGGGGCGGCCCCAGCAGACGCTCGTCCATAGTTGGGGGGGCCTGAGGCCCCCTCCCTTCTTCGCCCCTCCCCCCGCCTTGTTACTTCCCCCCCAAACTCGCTGGGGCCGCTGCTCCCTCCGCCCCAACCCCCGCCCGTCTCCCCGTCTCTCGGCTCCCCTGAGGGTTCACCCCGGCCCTGAAGGGAGACCTAGGGTACCGGCTGGGACCCCACAGGAGACCCCGGCCCCCGGCGGCGGAGAAAATGGAGCCGGAGAGAGAGAGGAGGCCCAAGCGGGGGTGTGTGTAAGAGAGAGGGAGGAGGGAGGAGGGAGAAGGGGGGGAGCGAGGGAGGGAGGCTGGGGGAGGGGAGGCGGGGAGGAAGAGGAGGGGAGAACAGAGGAGAACTGGGAGGAGCTGGGGGCGGAGAGAGACATGGAGGAACTGAGACCGAGTCGAGGAAGGGAGAGGGGAGAGGGGAGAGGGGAAGGTGGGAGGATACTAACCCATTGGAAAAACTATGGGAAGGCCCCGGGGCTGGACTTCTGCGGCCTGGGCCCGGGGCGTGTTGGGGATGGGGGTCCTGCTACCAGGGTTCTGAATCGGGGATCTGGGTGATCTGGACTGCGCCTGCTGGAATGCCTGGGTTCTCAGACAGCTCAGTTCATATTTCTCGTCTTAATGACTCCCCTCCCTGTTCTACTTAATTAAAATCAGGAGAGGGGGTGGGGGGTAATTAGGAAGGTCTCCAGCCGCTGCTTAATAAGCCAGTAATTAACCAGCCAAGGAGGGAGCTGGCCTCGGGCCAGACTGGGGAGAGAGGCAGCCCCAGGCTTCGCTGCCCTACCCTCCGCCCGCAGCCCCAGATAGCAGTCTTCAGTCCAGAGGGGAGTCACATTTATTCATACAACCGAAACATCAGACAGACGCGGAGCAGCAGTGGAGAGGGACGGTGGTTCGGGCTGTGTCCATTCACAGCCTGCAGGCCCCCTGGTCCCGGGGCTGGGTGCTGGTCGTGGGAGTGGGAGAATAGTCTCTATCTCTTTGCGGTGGCGCCCTCCCTTTCATTTTGGGAAAGAGGGTGGAACTGTCCCTCAGGTCACAACCTTAGGAAATTGGCCTTTTCTTGAGAATTGGAGGCCTGAGTCCTCAGATCCTGCCTATTGGCTTGACTACTGAGGGTGTCCCCCCAGCTCAGTACCAAGACTACAAGCCACTCCTTGAGATTAGAGTCATGATGGGGTGTCCTTTGGCGGCTGGGATCCTCTTGCTGCCTTGAGCTCCCATGTACTCAGGGAGAGATTTAAATGACTATCCTACCTTGATTATTCCCAGGGTTTGAGGACTCTCACCCCCTCCACTTCCCAGGGAGTGTGAATAAGGGTGATGAGTATTGAGATTTCTGCTGGGTTCAGTCTCTGGTGCCCCTGCCAAGCAGGGTTGAGGGTATGCAGGGGGCTGCCCAGCTTTGAGCCTCAGGAGTGAGTGCCCAGGGACTGGTAGGGACTCAAGTCTCAGCACGCATGTGTGTGGGGGGCCGGGACCTTTGTTCTTCCATTCTACCCCCACCCTGAACTCTCAGCAGCAATTCCAGGAGCTCCTGTCCCCCTGGCGGTAGGGGAGGCTCTGACCGCTGGGCTTCAATCCGCTGGCTCTGGAAGAGTGTAAGGAGGGAAAGGTGCTGGTGAAGAAGAGGAGCAGGCCTTGAAAGGAGCCAGGGCTGGTTTGAGGGGCATGTGATGGGAATAGGGGGTCTAGGGCCTGGGGAGGGAGCAGATACAGATACCTGGGGGGAAGAAGGGCCCCAAAGAGAATAGGGCCAAGAGACCAGGAAACCTGGGTCTTGCCTCCTGGGTGTGTGTGTATGTGTGTGTGTCAGGGAGTGTCTTACCTGGTGACTGAGGATGGTGCTGTAGAGCTGTTCTCTGTCTTCAGGAGGCCAGGATGGGGCTGGGGCTAGTCTTGGGGGATTGTGGGGAGCTTGGAAGGTGGCCCTCTGCTCCTCTAGGCGACGGGACTGAGCCTCAGCCACCAGGTCCAGAAGGAGCTCAGTCTGCAGGGAGAGCAGGGAGGCCGAGCGGCGTCCCGGGGCTGAGAGAGGAGGGGGAGGGCTCAGAGAAATTGGCAGGGGGTGAGGGATGGGGACTGGGAGAGACAGAATGAGGTGATTAGGGACTGGTGCCCAGAGGTAAGGGGGTACAATGGGGAGTCCAGGGGAGTTGGAGATAAGGCCCATGATGGAATGGGCTCTGGTAATGAGATCAGGAAGGATCTGGGCACCAGGGTTAGGGATCTCCCTGGGTGGGTGGGGGTACCTGTGAGGCGGGTCCCTGGAGGAGGGGATGGAGGAGCAGATCGCCAAGGCCGAGTGGTGGTGTTCACAGGGGGCCAGCTTTGCTCATCCTGATGGGGGCCCTGATGCCGAGATATCCATTGCACTCAAGCAGGGGTGGGGTGGGCAGGGGGCTAGGCCAGCAGCCTCTTTTTTTCTCTTCCTGTGTCTCTGTCCCTGTCCCAGCATGCCCAAGCCCTTCCAAGTGCCCTGAGTCCACCATCACTAGATCTCTGCTCAGGTCCTCTCACCTCCCTTTCTCCCAGGGTCAGCCTTCCCCACCGGGTGCCAGCTCACCTGCTCACCATCCTCTTCTTCCTGGGGTCTCTCAGCCTCCATCCCCTGGAGGGGAGAAACCAACGGGGGAGGGGTAGTAAGGATTTGGAGGAGGGCCGGAACCCTGAGTTCCTGAGGGGAGTGGGGGCTTGAAGGGGTGGGGTGAGCCGGGGGCTGGATGTCTGGGTACTAAGCAGGAAGCTGGGTTCCTGGTCAGCCCCCCCACGGCCCCGCCCATCCCTGTCAACTTCCTCCAGTTCTCTTTTCCCACCCAAACCGCTTGCTCAACCTCTCTCCCCTCAGGGGAGCACAGAGACTTCGAAAAGCTCCTCCAGCCCAGTAGTGGAGGGGTTTCAAGGTGGGCAAGAACTCTTGGCTTTCTCATCTCCAGGGCATCAGTAGCTGCCCCACCCCCTCTGTTCAGCTCTGTCCCCTCCTCCCCTTCAGCTCTGTCAACACAGGAACTAGCTGCACAGGAAGTGGTTTCACTCCTCAGAACCCTAACTCCCAGGTCCCATCTCTCCTTGAGATGGACCCTGACATAGGATTCTGCCTTCCCTGCTTCCCAGCCTTATTGGGAATAGGACAGGCATGGTCCCAGTGGGAAGCAGGAGTCAGATCCAAGGTTGTCAGTCCATCAGAGGTATACATATACCCTTAGTACTGGGTCCAACACACAGTGAGTGTCCAGTAAATGTGCCAAATAGTTAACCCTGCCCTCTAGGTGCTTGGTCTACTCAGCAGACAAGATATGCACCAAATGTGAGGTGTGGGTCAGGGGAACATTTTCTCTGGTCATGAATGAGGGATATAGAAATGAACAAGAGAGGACCACCTCATTGGCTTGGTCTTTGATCTGTGCTGATCAGGGTGGCTGGCACCAAGGTGGAAGCACAACAGACATTTGGGACCTCTACATGGACACCTGTCACAGTTGGGTGTTTATAGCTGAGCGACTTCAAACATGGAATGTGATGAAGAGCTCTGATTCTGCCACTTAATGCCTTGCAATCTCGACCAAATAAAATCTGGGCCTCAGTTTCTAAGAGTAAAATGGAGATTCAGTAGACCTAATAGTTGATGTGAGGGTGAAATGTGATAAAGCATTGGGCATAGTGAATGCCCAATAAATGGTAGTTATTATAAGGTGTGTCATAAAAGTAGTGTGGGTTTGGTTCCAGACCATAATAAAGTGCTTATCACAATAAAATGACACGTTTTGGTTTCCCAGTGTGTGTTCACAACTATACTGTAGTCTATTAAGTGTGCAATAGTATTGTCTTAAAAACAATGAACAAAAAAATGAACACCTTAATTAAAAATACTTTATTGTGCCCTGGCTGGCATAGCTCAGTGGATTGAGCGTGGGCTGAGAACCAAAGCATTGCAGGTTTGATTCCCAGTCAGGGGACATGCCTGGGTTGTGTGGGCCATGGCCCCCAGCAACCGCACATTGATGTTTCTCTCTTTCTCCCTCCCTTCCCTCTCTAGAAATAAATATATAAAATCTTTTAAAAATCTTAAAAAATGCAGATGCTTATTTAAAAAAATACTTTATTGCTAAGAAATGCTAACCATCACTTGAACCTTCAGTGAGTCACAATCTTTTTGTTGCTAGGTCTTTGTTTTCAATGACTTTAATATGATTTCAATGTTAATGAAACATATCTGTGAAGCACAGCAAAGTGAAGCACAATAAAAGTGAGGTATGCTTGTACAATATTAGATTTCAAAACGCTTCAAGCCTTTATGTCTCAGGTTCATCACCACCACGAAAGAGGTGTAGCTACATTGCTGAAATGTGGGTTGTTTGAAATGTTCTAACTTCCTCTAGCTAACTTGGGCCCGTGGGAGTCTCCTAAGTGGCTATAACTAAGTGCTGTTGGAAGAAAAAGGGTCTACTGTGTGGCTTCTCCTTGGACTACTATAGACTCTTGCCTTCAGATACCCTAAATTAACATAGGACCTTCAAATCTTATTCTTGTTCTTAAACAAGACTGAAAGTCTCTATCTAAATAGAACTTGGAAAACAAAATTCTGAAAAGGCTATGCAGTCACTCCCATATTTTTTCCATTGCACTCCCCAACCCTTAACAAGTGGGTAGCACTACATCAGTGTTATCTGGTGGCAGATTTGGGGTTCTTAAATAGAGATAGCAGTGGCTAGAAGAGCGGTGCTTCATCCCTGCAGTGATTTGTTGACTGGTAGTGAGAATGCAAGGATTCTTCAGCTGGAGTGGCCCTTGGCACTCCCCCCACCCAGCACCTGCAATGCCTGACACATAGCAGGCACTTAATAAATATTTGTCAGCTGTTTGTAGGTAGTGGGAGTGATCTAAAGGCTGCCTTTGGGAACCAAAGACAGATAGGAAAGAACATTTACATCCTATTTATCTGTAGCTCTTGGTTCCAGTTCAGGGTACATGGCCCACTCCACCCTACCCTCCTGTAGACCCTCACTCTTACTTTCTGGTGGAGGGACTGGGCCTACTTCATCTCGGCACCCGGAACCCTTTGTGGGGCTTCATCTTCTCCACGTGGAAGATGACGGTTGTGAGCGGGCATACACTCATTTTGGGAAGGACGCTATATTCCCAACCATCTACTTTCCGGGCTCAGAGAAAATCTGGAGAACTTCCAGATGGTCATTGGGTACTCACTTTTAGAATGAAAGGTTCTATTAGCCTTCTACTTTTGACCTTCGCTTACTGCATTTAAAGTTATTACTCGGTGGGATGGGGGAACCTCTGGCAACTCGAGATCCCCTATCTCGGGACAGAGTGAGGCAAGAAGGCGGAATCGGAGTGTTGGAAGAGGGACCGCAGGCTCCCAGGGCCACCCAGTCGCAGGGCCAGTCAGCTGAGGCCACACCCTCGCTCCGGGATCTTCCGTGCACTACAGCAGGGTTGGGCCGCGGCCCACTCACGCCTGCGGGAAACCTCCCGCCACAGGGCGGACCTCCTCCCGATTTTCCTTTCGATTGGCTTTGGCACTGCGAATAGACCCCGCCCCCTTGCGCGGCCAAGTCTACCGACAAAGTCGGGTTTTGCAGACTTGCTCCGCGCCCGCGCGGGACTGCTCCAGCTGACAGCGTCCAGCTGCGCAGCAGAGCCCTATCCCCGCGTGGCCGCAGACTTCCCGACGCGGTCCGCGCACGCGCGAAGGCTCTCTCCCGGCGGCTCGGCGTGGCCTTTTGACGCGTCCGCGGTGGCCCCGCCCCTTGAAGCAAAGTCAGCAGATCCCAGTGGTTGCGCTGGCGGGCGATGTCCGCGGGCGTTAGTCCAGTCTGATCCCGCAGTTCTCTGGCCGCCTCCAGCCCTAGCAGCAGCTGGACTACCTCCACCGCCCCTTCTCGCGCCGCCAGAAACAGTGGCGTCTGCTCCTGCGTGCGAGGAAACGGCCAGGAGCTGGGTCAGGGAAGGCCACACCCACAGGACTGGCCCTTCAGGACTCCACCTACTCGACTGCCGGTCCCTTTCCCCTCTGGTTTGGGGGAGTTCCCGAGCTTTCCACCTCTCCCGCACCCCCTTTCTTTTTTTGTAGGGAGGCTTCCACTTGCTCTAACCCTGCGGTCCTGGGCGTCTTTATCGGCTCCGGCTTGGAGAAGGGAGCGGGCGGCTCGGGCGTTGTTCACGGCGGCTGCCCAGTGCAGAGCGGTTTTTCCTGGGGAACAACATGGGAGGTTGTCACCCTGAATGTGGGGTCAGACACCTGGGTACCCTTTTCCCAAAGATTCTGGTCTTGGGGGAAGGGCTATTCGGGTCCATGGGGTTTCGGGTTCCTCAAACGCCGAAGCGTTGTCCGGGTGACCCCACCGGCAGGAATTGTCCCTGGTGACGTCACCGGTGTGCGGACTGGACAATGGGGCATTGTTCTGGGGTTGTTGGGACCGGGAGAGCCCTCCCTCTTCTCACCGACACACTGTCTCCCCATCCTATTTTACAGTGGGCTAGGATGGTGTGTATCGTTGAAGTTGATGGGGGAAGACATGCTCCATTCTGTTACCGCATCGTAGATTTACCACCCTGACAACAGGGTGAGAGGGAATCCCCCAGCCTCCAGTTGCTCCTCTGCTGTTCCCTTTTTTTTTTACGTTTTACCTCACATTCCATCTGCTTAACTTTTCTATAGCTCATCAGCACTCCCACACCCGGATACATACCCCATTTATCTCTGGCTCCTACATCTGCTTGGGCTGCAATCAGTTCTTCGACCAGGTCCTCCACTGCCAGCCTGGCAGCCAGCATTAGCGCCGTGGTTCCATCCTCTGTCCTCGCATCCACTATGGTCTGTCTGCTGCGGAGTAGAAGCTGGGGGGACCAGACAGGGCCAGTGACCCCTGGTATGACCCGGGCTACTAGCTCAGGGCCCTCACACTGTTAACCATCCCCCAGCCCATATTCAGCCATCTGTTCTTGTTTCTCTTTCAGGCCCCCATCTCATATCACCTTCCTCTTTGCCAAACCCCAGAGAATGCTTTTGCCCAGCTTTAATTCCAAATTGGCTCCCTGTTCTCTTCAGTGACTCCAGTGTGCACTGACCTGGCAGACCTCCCTCGCATCAGCAGCCACAGCAGTGTGAAGGGGGGTGCGCCCTGCTCTGTCTGGCTGGTTGGGGTTGGCTCCAGTCTCAAGGAGGCGGCAGACAGCAGTTGGCTGGGAAAATCGGGCAGCCAGGTGCAGAGGGGTCTCCCCAGTCCCCACAGTATGAGCCTGGGGACAGTTTCCCCCATCTAACAGAGGAGCCCAGGACTCAGAGCTTTCTTGCCATGCCCCCTGGAAGGTCCTGGACTCTACTCCCCCAGAGTAGATTGCTGACATCAGGGGTGTCACCCCATCTGTGGGTGGGAGACAAGGAATGGGAGACATCAATAAAAAGGACATAAAGGGGGTGGAGAACATGGAGGCTCAGGGAGAATCATAGCCTGAGGTGCCAGGAAGCCCAACTCTGGCTCTTGATTTTGTGTGGCTTTAGTCAGGTGATTTCTAGTCTCTGGGCTTCAGTGTCTTCATTTCTAAAAGGAATCAGCAGGCCTTAATTCTCTAACATTCTAGGGCAGTGGTTCTCAAACTTGAGTCTGATTAGACTCACCTGGAGGGCTTTGTGCAACGATTCCCCAATATCTGAATCAGGAGCTCTAGAGTGGAGCCTGAGAATGCTTATTTCTTTCCTTTCCCTTTCTCTTTTTCTTCCTTTCTCTCTCATTCTCCCTCTTCCCCCCCCTTTTAAAAAAGATTTTATTCATCCATTTTTAGAGAGAGAAGGGAGGTAGAAAGAAAGAGAGAGAGAAACATCAGTGTGCAGTTGCTGGGGGCTGTGGCCTGCAACCCAGGTATGTGCCCTGACTGGGAATCGAAC